GCGGCCGCCCCTAAATACGCTCCTCGGGCCCGAAGCAGGGCCGGAGCTCAGCCGCTTGCCGCTGAGGGCGTAGATGGGGGGTTGGATTTGGGGACCAGAAGCACGTGCAGTCGCAAAAGTCCGCCAAAAAAAGACATGAAAGCATCGCATCCAATCGGTAACACATCCAGCCCCCGCAATTGAACAGCAGGCCATAATTCGCGCCAGCCTGCGCGATACACTTCATGTAGCCCTGGATTCTCGCATCGTCGAGTGAAATGACCAATGTGTCATCAGCAAACAAAAGCTCATTGATCATGTCGGGATGTTTGATTTGAGGTAACAACTCCTGTAAACCCTTCAACGCATCGGAACGTCATGAGCATTGAAAAGAACACCGGCGACAAAGGGCATCCTTGTGAAATACCAAATTGCTCTGCATGCAGCGGCTTGAAAAACCTCATCTTCCGAAAAAACGTGCTGCGAAACCGGCAATGGCGGACCCAAATCATGCAAAAACTGCATTGTTGTGACCGGGCGAACCGCCCACTGTACCCGTTCCAGATACTGCGCAAAAGTTTCCGCGCGCTGATTGCTATCAACAACACTCCCATCCATGATTTTCAATCACTTGCTCGCAAGAGTTCATTTAACCATGGTGAGCGGTCAGACGCGACCGAGGCATTGTTCAGTTTGGAAGGGTTTTTCTCCAAAATCGTGTTTTTTGTATTGCGGGCCTTTTGTCTCGCGTCGATCAGGCAGGGTGCGCGATAACTAATTAATCCAAGGACGGTTTGTTTTCAAGGGAAGGCTCGGCAGGCACGCCCGAGCAGCATTTTGAAGAGCCTTCGTTATTTGGCTACATAAAGTTCGAGGCATTGTTTTTTGTTTTTTCTTCATTTTTTCGGGCCGCTGACGGTTCGGGGGGGTCTGAGGTTAACCGTCGTAAATTGGATGCTTTCCAAGCAAAATGCCTGCGTGTATTTTTGTGTATTCCTCGCTCTTTTTACAGCTGTGTTCCCAACACGGATGTTTTGTCACGTGCAATCACGAAGAAGCTTTCAGTTGTTCCTTTGTATGGACAACTCATGCCCTTGCACAGGATTGCAACTTTGCCTTTGGATGACGTCATGCGAACATGTGTTTTCGGAGGCCAGAGGTACACGTAAAGATCCCGCGTGGATAGCGGAGGCATGAGGGGCCAAAAACTATCTGGAATATATCTGTGGCACATTTTGCCGTGGCGATGCTGGATGGTTCTCATGCACTGAGTGATGGTTTGTTTCTCCCACAGAATGGTGGAAGAAAAGAGCTGCACAATTTTGCTTGCAGTGCCGTAGCACATACAGATTTAGATGCGCAACAACCCGCATCGCTAGTGCCCATGTGTGTGGACACGGGGCTTGATTTCCGCGACCCATTCCACCTGCATGACGAAATCCGGTCCCCAGTCACTACCCCATCTTTGGGATGGGCCACCAGCCGCGCCGCCGTGGCATCAGCGCGGTCCTCGACGGCTTGCGGGCACGGGGGAGTGCCAGCGCACGTCGGCAAGGACGTCGTGCAGCTCGGGCGCATGGTGAAAACTCAAGGAGGGTCGCAGGAAAGACGCGCGGCGCGGTAATTGCCAACAACCCCGACGAACGCGCAACCAACGCTGACCGCGCTGCTGACCGCAATGCCGCCAGCGCGGTTGAGGGCTGGTGCTGCGCTAACAGGCGGAGCCACGTGACGTGTTCGTGCCATAGTGGCCACCGCGACGACACCGGTTTTGGCCGCAAAGGCGTGGAAGCATTTGCTCCTTCAGCCCCCAAACCTCTTGGAGTCCTTCATTTTCCGCCAGGATTGTTGGAGGAAAGGTGAGCGTTCATGCTTTTTTGGCCCTGCTCAGGAGTCACGGCAGCCATCATGCAGATCTAAACGCACAGAGCTGGAATGTCCTCGCAAACGGAGGGGCCAATGTGCTGGTCGGACTCCTCCTTCGAGCGCTTGCAGCAGCTTGAACGAGCCAATATAATTGGCATATCCATCAGCAAATTTCGCCATCGAACGTTTGGTTGATGCAACAAAAACGTGAAAATCTACTTACCACCATCTTCACGCATGAACATGGGACAAGCCCACATGTAATGGAAGAACCGCACGTGGGCACGTGACAAGAAGGGCTCAGCTGGTTGGAGCAGCAGTGCGCGCAGGGCTCGTGACAGCTGGAAGGATCCGGAAGGATGCATCTTGCGGGACGATGCATTCACCTTATGTGTTTCAAGCTTCATCCCACGAATTATTTTGTGTTCATCTGAAAACTGACCTTTACAGCTGGTGCAGACCATGATCAGTGGCCCCCTGCTTAGATTGTGGGCCCCCAAACAAGTGTCTGCTTCGAGGCAAACCCTGTTCCAGGTGTGTCCAGCCTACGTCACCCACAGAATCACGGCATTTCGGGGAGACCTTTTCGAGCTTGTCATCACGGTTGAGCAAACCCAAAGGCCAAGGCGCGTGGCAAACACCGGCCGATTTCCAAGGAATGCCATACCTTTCGGATCCTGTTGGGACGGGGATACAGATGCGCTGCAGGGCCATGGAACATCATGCAAGAGCCTGCAGGGAGATTGCCAAGCTGTGCCACGTTATCGTCCAGCTTTGCGCATATATGAGGGATGCGGGTTGTGAGAGCACGTCGGCAGATGCGCGCTAAGGTCAGATGCGAGGAACGCGGGCCGCAGAAGCGCGTACGACATGGACATCGGTGCAAACAGTGCGAGGGGTGGAGCGTCTCAGCTGCCGCAGTTTGGGGCCCACGGACCCGCAACATCCTGCGAATAACGGGGCAGTAGGGAGTCAAGCGCAACGAACGCGTGCTCTGGTTCGCGAATTCAATGCGTCAGCACTCCGAGTGGCGTACAGCCTTGCTGCTGCATGGCTTCGCAACACGAGAGGCTTACACAAGGGGCGTCCGCAAGTAGAAAGAGTGCAGCTTGAAGGCAAAGGCCAGTGGCAGCAGTGGCAGCAGCTTTGCTGAACAGCTGGCTTCGGCATACTTATCTGCAGCGCAGGTTGACACGTCCACGTTACGAATCGTCAGCGACGCAAGCTGCTTCATGTCAGGAAAGAGGTTACTTTCCCGCATGCACTTGACGACGGCCCATGGCACACAACTGGGACGAAGTGCCAAGACTCCGTTCAGCATTGTTGCAACGATTCGGTCGTTCGTCAAGCTCGCTTGGCCTAACGAGCTGGGCCAAGCCCTTCCCATACTTCTCATCGATGTCGACTCCATCACAAGCTTGAAAACCTGAAGCCCTACTTGTGCCGTGCCTGGGCCGCTAAATCCAGACTTCCAAGCGTTTTCTGCCGCGAATTGATGAGTTCTGCGTAACCTGGGCAGGACAGCACCCGCCAACAAGCTCATGCCATTTTGCGGAATGCAACAGAATCTCACCTGCAAGAAGCATGCTCCGTTTCAAAAGGGCCGAGCGCGAGTCTGCCGGTAGCTTTCGAGGCGGCAACAACGTTGCCATTTTCCTGACAGCCAGTGATGGCAGCATGGCAACACCTTGAATCATCGACTAAAACGCCTGTCATCCCTCCACGCACTGTTTGCCTCGGCACACAGCAGTCTCGGGAAGACAACGCCGAATTATAGTAGTTTCCATTTTCTTTTCCATTATCCCAAAATAACCCCAATACAATCCCTATATGACCCTTACATAACCCTATATTATATAATCCCTATATAACCCTGTATAATCCCTTAAGCATGTTCATTTCCATGGCTGCTGCGGGAGATGACCCTCCAACAGTGCCAGCCTGCTCGCAAGGATCCCTACCTCATCTTTTATCAACAATTGGGGTTATATAGGGATAGTGGAACCCAATAATAGAGAATCAAGTGGGAAAAGAAAATGGAAAATTAAATGGAGGGTGGGATTATTATGGGTTATATTAGGGTTCTATTGGGATTATATAGGGATAATGGAAAAGAAAATGGAAACTACTAAGTAGGGTTTAGGGGCTAATATAGGGATAGTGAAAAGGAAAATGGAAACTACTGTTTAGGGTTTAGGGTTTACACTACCTCAAGCTAGCATGTCTAGAAAGGGGTACAAGGTGCCCAGTGGTTTCAAGCAGACCAAAATGCCATGACTAACACAGACCCATGATTGACAAATCCCCTCCCTTAATAGGGCTTTTAATAGAGGTCCGAATATTTAGGCCCTTAAAGGGAGGGGGGTTATTCATCATGAGTCTACATTAATGTAACCCCACACCCTAAATAGTCGTTTCCATTTTCTTTTCCACTCTAACTCTATAACCCTATATTCCCCTCATATTCCTCTAAGAACCCTATACTACCCTTTAAAGGGGGGACTATGCCCCTTATATTACTCTAATAACCCTATACTACCCTTTAAATGGGGGACTATACCCCTCAGAAGGGCCTCGGCCATGCCACAACAGCAAAGGCAGTCCCTTAGGGGATTGCTGCTAGAGCCGAGATCCCACAACATCCGCAAATCCCAAGGATGGACGCAGAGAGGGCTGTATTGGGGTTATACAGAGGATATATGAGCCATTGTCTAAACTCCTAGTATCCCCTTAAGAACCCCTATAGTAGTCCCCTATATAATCCCTATATAACCCCCTTTAAGGAGTTTAGACTATAGCTCATGTAGGGTTTAGGGCTTCGGGCTTCCCAAAACTGGTAGAGTTTTGGGGGTATATAGGGGATAATGGAAAAGAAAATGGAGACTACAGGGATTATATAGGGGATAATTTGAAAAGAACATGGAAACTACTATATTGCCATATTGTAGGGTGTAGGGGTTCTTAGGCTACAGTGTCCTTTGCTTCTGGGAAATGACGAAACAAGGACTGATTGAACTGCCGCTCTCTTCAGTACCCTTGCTGCCCTTGCTAAATGTACAACTACAGAAGTCGAAAACAGAGCTGTGTAGGCACGACACCGCGAGCGAGTCTTTTCGGAAGCAGGCCTCGCTCTTGCCAGATCTTCCCATGCAATTTCACACGGGTCTTGGCTTCTTGCCGCGCCGTTTGGCAGCTTCACGTCGCTTGTTCGACATCTCTGCAGGTTTGTGGCTCACTCTCCGCTTCCAATCAATTCCGCAGAAAGTCAGCGAAGCGTCAAAGTCAAGATCAGACCTGCTTTCAGCAGCACAGCATCTTTATCCTCCAACAGAACGAGCCTCTGAGAGCGCGGCTTTGGGGGAATCTTGGGCCTTTTGCCCTTCTTTCCATAGCCAAGCCGCCACGGTACGCGAATAAGTCGCCTCTCTCCAACACCCATACCAGCCACGCCGATGGCAAAGCCAGGAAGCATCGTGCCCTGCGCAGAGTCGTCTAGAATGCAACAAGCAATCTTTCGCCGACTGAGGTTGCAGCATCCCCAAGAAGAAAGTCGATTTCTCCAACGTCAAACCGTCGGCCGTTCTTCTCTGGTAGGCGCCCCTGACACAAACTGCAAGCCTACAGTGAATGTTGCAAATGTTGCGATGGGCCTCATACATGAGCCTCACTTCGCAGCCCTTCGTGGCTATTCTTGTTCCTTCCGGAGCTGCGCGTATCACCTTCCAGTGTGGAAATACACAAACTTTCGATAGTTGGGCCAGCTGGATCCCTGCCTTTATGGTGACACCACCTTGCAAAGTTTTTGTGGTCCCTGTAGGCAGCAGACCTCAGGCAGAATTGCTGCCAGCAAATAGATGTAAATCCACCGAGCTGAGGCATGCTGAGACGGGAACCTTCCTGTTGCAGATCCTTGCTCCCATCGTTGCTCTCTTGCACAGCTTCAGGAGCAGGTGGGGGGTCTGAATCCTGGGAAATACAGCATCTCATCCTGCTGCAGGCCCTTAAGCCTTCCCACGAGCCTTGTCTTTGTCTTCTGTTGCTTTGCTGGCTTTCCTCATGAAACTTCCAAACGTGGACTGGCAAAACATTGCGAGCTGCAGCCGAAGGACTTCTGCCTTTTCCGCTTGGGGGAGCTTCTCACTGTTGGTGCTTCCTCATCTTGAGGTTCTGCTGCAACCGCCTTGTCCTCAACCGGTTTGACACATTTTGACACGGATACGAGGAGTGCAACTGGAGGCATGGGTATGGGAAGGATTCTCGCAAATCATTCGACCAAGTCCTCTTAGACACCCTGTGTGCGATCTCAAACGTAAATTAAATAGTCTCAACCCAACAGCACGATGGACCTTCCTGAAGCTCCCTTTCTGGTTCGCCTAGCAGCATTTTCAATCTTGCTGTCGTTACAGGCTCTGCTAGCAAGCCATCCCTGCTGCTACACATTGGGGCGGCAAGCCTTGGCGCGTTTGCGCTTCAACTTTCGCTTCTTGCTTTGTCTTGCCACGGCTTCCTGGTTGCCTGCTTCATCGTTTCCAGCACCTTCTTCGTCCTCATCTTCGGAGAACAGAGCTGCATAACGGTTACTGGCCCATGCCATGGATAGCGGAAGGGTGCTTGCATGTTCAGCATCAACTAGCGCGAGACAGATTCTCCCTGAGAGGTCTGCATGCAATATCTATGCGTCTGTCAGTCGGTCGAAGAGAATGCACTTGGCTGGTTTAGAAGTGCTGCAGCGTCAATGATGAATTGGACACATTTGGACATTGTTGGATTTTTGTGTTTGAGCTGCAGATTGAACTTTGAGGACTGCAAACAAGTCTGATCACCACGCTCTGGCAAGCTCGTCGTGAATTCCACCTTTTCCTCATGAGCAGCACATGTGTGCTTTCTACATTAACAGCTCTGGGTCGCTCGAGCCGTATTAGCCCACAGCTTTCTTGCCTGCCTCGCTCCCCGAGAGTCCAACCAAGCAACAGCTCGGTGCTATGGTACATTTGCAAGCTCAGGGCGGCCAATTGAAAGAAGGAAGAGAATTTCTTGAATGGCTACCAGAGTTGCTACCTATGTGGCTGTGCATGTTAATGCAACGCACGCCCGTTTACATAAAAAAAAGAAGAAAAAAAAAACAAGCAGCATGGTCATTGGCTGCTAGCACCAGCGCCATCAAACTTTTCGGCACTTCGACTTGGGATTTGAGGCGGTCACAAGGACTGGACCTCTATCTCCGTCTCGGCATGCCCGTAGGAGTACCATATCTCAGTCGAGGGAAACATGTTTGGGTCAAAAATGTCTGGGTCATATGATGGTGAGGGCGCACCACCGCAGCAATGAGCATCGCAATGGCCACCAGCACAAACCTCAGAGGAACAAATCACGTTTGACTGAAGCGATATGTCTGATACCAAGGACTGTGCCAGATGGAGGACCCTGCGGATTCTGACCTCATTCGGAACTGGGGTTTGTTGAAATACTATTCAAAATAATCATTTGATATCTATATCGGGCCCAGGTATGCATAAGAATATACAATTCTGCTCAACAAGGGACTTGGCCCAAACTACAGTTCCCGAAACAGGGTGAAATTATGTAGTATGTAGGGACCCGTATTCGGATAGGAACCCCACTATACTGACTATACTTATAGGGACCCGTATAATAACATAATTTAAGGAGATCCCCACAAGGTTGCAAACCCTTGTACCGGGTTGGGAACTCTAAGCCTAAAATGCTATGGTAGTTCCCGTGTCCTCTTCCATTCCCCTAAATTCCTTACACCTAAGCCCTAAATCCTAAATACTATAGTAGTTTCCATGTCCTTTTCCATTCCCCTAAATTCCCTTACCCCCCCTACATACCCCTATATACCCAAAAATCACATAAACGCTAAACCCTTACACTGCATGTGCTCAGTTGGGAACTCCTGTAGGTCATGGAGCCCGTACTGCTTCAGGAGCGGCTCTAGCTGCTTCCTGCTGACTTCATGGAAACTGCTATATAGAGGGGTTACATAGGGGTAATTCCTGTATGATGGAGAACGCAAGGGAAAAGATGTAAAATGACATAAAAGCTGGGCCGATATAATATACACGTAATACCTACATGTATATTATGGTACTGTTCATCATCAATAATCAACTGCAGCTCTCTAAAGACACGGAAGTGTAGATTCAGTGCCCCTCACTTAGTGTGGCCTGGTTTCGGCTTTCTCTTCCTCGGTGACGACCTGCTTGCGCAAGTAGCTGCTGTACCTGCACAAGGTGCCCTGAGGGCACTGCAGCAGCTGGCAAAACTCAGCCCGAAGTGCTGCAACCAAACTGGGATGGGCACTCCAGGAACAGCATGTATCCTAAGCTAACTCTGCACTAGGGCCACTAGCATGAAAGATGCAGCCCACTGTTCATTTAACCAGGACACGTTCGCCATCATCTGCGGCACGATTCCAGGATGCCTCCCCAGCATGCTGGGAGAAGGATCGGACCAGAGGTGAACCAGATTCAACCACCCCGACCCAGTTTGTCCACATATCCAATTCGACCTTCTGATCTCTCCTCTGATGCAGATGGACTTTTGTCATGATCTGATTTGGTATGATTGATTCTCATTATGTCATACTGGTAGTACTTCTTCATCTTTGCAACGTGACTTTGAACAACCGCCCTATTCTGAGGCCATATGTTGCCCTCAGGGTCTGGCAGATGAGCTGTAGCTTTCCTCTAGTTTACACCTTACACAGCGAAAACTTCTGTGATGCAACTTCTGATTCTGGTTGTTCGGTTCGCCCAGAGTGTCCAGGGGGGGCCTTTGAGGTTCATGTACCATCCAAAGCATGGATGATACCATGTTCATCAGTGAAGGCATCCCTTGCACTTCCCAAACAATGTGGGTAGTTCCCAACATTAGGGTCCGGCTCTGGTACCCTAATATAATGGGTGCCGTAATGGAATCTATAGCCAGAAGCGGCCCATACTTTTGAGAACAACCCATATAGCAAATCACGAGCACCCAAGGTTGATTGATTGTTTGATTGGTAGGGCCATTCTTTCAGTAGCTTCCATTTCATGCTCCATCGTGTTTTCCGTTTGATTCTCCATTATTGTGGGAATGTCCCTACACAATCCCTATATAGCACCAGTTTGCATTTAATGGTTCTATCCTTTTCCATCTGATTCTCCGCTATCCTTGAACCCTCAACCTTAAATACAAGTAGCCAAGTAGTGGCTTCCATTTCATTTGTCATTGTCTTTCCCTTTTGGTTCTCCGTTATTATGGGACTATCCCTATGGGACTATCCCTATGGCACTGGCCCTTCATATTCCCATATAATTCTTATATAATCCTAGCTTCCAGTTCATTGTCCATGATTTTTCCGTTTGATTCTCCGTTATTCTGGGGCTACCCCTAAACTCTAACTACTGAACTCCAAAATGTAGTCTACATTTTCTTTTGCATTCCTGCATAGTCCCTATACATCCACCCTAAACCTATAAAACCCCAAACCCTAAACCCTAAACCTATAACCCCAAACCCTAAACCTATAACCCTAAGCCCTGAACCCTTAACCCAAACCCTAAACCCCCAAAACCCTACACCCTAAACCCCCAAACCCTACACCGTAAACCCCCAATCCCTAAACCCCTAGACCCCCAAACCCTTCACCCTAAACCCCCAATCCCTAAACCCCTAAACCCCCAAACCCTAAAACCCTAAACACCCAAACCCTAAAACCCTAAACACCCAAACCCTAAACCCCAAACCCTAAACCCTGGCTTGGCCTGGAGCAGCTCCCGTTTGTCCGGCGGCAGCGTGTCCTGCAGGCGGTAGTGGAAATTAGGGTTCAGGGTTCAGGGGTTTAGGGTTTGGGGGTTTAAGACTTAGGATTTAGAGTTCAGGGTTTAGGGGCTTAGGATTTAAGAATTAGGGTTTTGGGGTTTAAGATTTAGGGTTTAGAGTCTAGGGCTTAGGATCTAAGGTTTAGGGGTTTAAGATTTAGGGGTTTGGGGGTTAGGGTTCAGGGGTTTAGGGTTTAGAGGTTTAAGGTTTAGGGGATTAGTGTTTAGGGTTCAGAGTTTAGGGGCTTAAGGGTTTGGGGGTCTGGGGTTGAGGGGTTTAGGGTTGAGGGGTTTAATGCTTCAGGTTTAGGGTTTGGGCGTTTATGATTTAGGGTTTAGGGGTTCAGGGTTTAGGGGTTTGGGGGTCAGGGTTCAGGGGTTTAGGGCTTAAGGTTTGGGGGCTTAGTGTTTAGGTTCAGGGTTTCGGGGTTTAGGGTTTAGGGGTTGAGGGGTTTAGGATTGAACAAGAGAAGTCTAGGGCCATGGGGAAAAGAACATGGAACATGAAATGGAACCCTAGGTCCCTTTAAAGGGGTATAGGGGGATTACATAGGGTTTGGTACCAAAAGTTGATTTGCATTCTAAAGGGGAATCAGATGTGAAAGAGCTTGGAAAACAAACCGGAAGCTAGGATTGCATAGGGGATTGTATAGGACAAGAGGGGTATCACCGGGACATCACTAATTTACGGAAACCCCCATCGCTACTCACAGCTGAAATCTGACTCTGCAAGCCCGAATCAAGACTTCCTTGATGTTCTTCTGAAACTCTGGCTTCGAGCCTTGGGTTTCACCCGCATATGCCGGTTTTACCAAATTAGGGGCACCTTTTGAATTCCTCTATAGTAAAGAATATGGTATTTTGGGGTGTATGTTGGGGTACCCCTTTTTCTGGAAACTACCATATCACTTCCACTTTATTCTCCGTCACTTAATGTGAAATCAATTTTGCAAAGTTCCGGTGACCTTCACTCTTTCCTCTCCTGTGTACCAACTCCCTTACTTTGTAGATTTTGGAAGCTAAGAAGCATGGTTTTGATCTCTACAGCCGCAGAGAGGGTCTAGGAGTCTAAAACTCATCCAGACCCTAAACACTAAACCCTGAAGCCTAAATAGTAGTTTCCATTTTCTTTCCCCTCTCCCTACATACACCTTATAGTATTCTGTCTGCACCCCTTTCATTACAAACCCTCAAGCCTAAAGTGCCTTGAGCCGGGCCTCTAAGAGCTCCTGCCAAAGCTGCGGCAGATTCTGTGGTGGGCTTAGCTCCTGCAGAGAGCGGTGGTTGCACTGCACTTCTACAGGTTGCAGCCCTAAACCCCTAACCCAAGTAGATCGAATATGACTTGGGGTATATCATAAGAAGATCTCCATATACCCCATATTCT